AAAGTCTGTTGTCGGACCCCTTAGATGGATCAAATTATTGTTTATGAGTTCTGAAACTCAAATTTTTTTCCCGAGATCTCTTGCTTGGACGATCTCAGGTTCCCGTTCAAAGTATTTCTGGGGGCTGGTTGTGTTGAACATGTATTTTGTGTGTTTTTTAGGCTGTGTTGTGGCCAATATGTTTAATTTGAGTGATTTAGGCAACTCTTGCACCTTCAGTAGTGCTTTCGGTGTTTGCTGCCACATTGGTATCCATGGAGATAACCCCTGGTCTACAAATTATTACTGTCAAACTCGAAGAAAGTTATTTGGAGTGGAAGGGGAAAGTTGGGATATATCAATAGCAAGATTAACCTGAAGAAACAAATCTAGTGCATGAAAACTGGAAAATTGAAAGCCATACTGTTATGTCTTGATTATGCATTCCATGCAGCCATTGATTAGTATGTTCTTTTTGTTTCTTCGAACTGCAAAAGAGATTTGTAACTCTATATATCAAACTTATTCTCAAAGCAAGAGTGCAGCTCGAGTGTATAAACTGAGGCGGGATATTTGCAATCTTTGACAGGGGGAGAAGTCCCTAGCTGAGTATTTTTTCTTACTGTGTAGTATGTGGGAGGAGCTAGACAGATGTTTAAACCATCTTGTATGGAAGATGGTGAGAAATATAAAAGAGTTTGTGGATCAACATCGTTTTTTTGAGTTTTTGGTGGGTTTGAATCTACTAGGGTTCAAATACTTAGTAGGGATAACCTTCCATCATTTAACTAGTTGTATTTGTTTGTTCAAAGTGAAGAGACTAGGAAAAATGTCATGCTGCCTAGCTAAGAAGATGATCAATATGCTTTACTTCAGCCTCCTTTCCTCCTAGAAACAATAGAGGGCGTGTGGGACGGGGAGGGGTAGGGTTAGGGGTAGGGGTAGGGGTGGGGTGGGGTGGGGTGGAGTGGGGGGGGGGGAGGGAATAAAAAATTTAGAAAGGGAAGAGAGGGACATCCAGCCCCTTTAAGGATGTTTTATAGTGAGAACTTTGAGTAAGGGAAAATCCTGGAAGGGCTTCTTGAACTCTTTAATTGAAGGCTATAAAGAAGGTTTGCACCTCAGAGGTGCCCGCCTTCCAAGGTATTCTTCAATATCTTCTCTTCTGTCCCATATATTCTCTTCCTCTCCTTTTTTTCCTTTCTTCTCCAAAATTCTTTTGTCATCTCTTTTCTTTCCCTTCTTCCTTTTTTCTTTCCTTGAATTATTGAATAGTCTTTCTTTTTTCTTAAATTTTTTATTTTCCATTTTTCTTGTTTTCTTTTTTCCTTAATTTTTTTCTTTTATTATAAACCTCCAAACAACAAAGCACCCCATTCAAAGAAACTATCAGAACCCTAAGAATAACCCTGATCTTGTTAGAATTAACCCAAATAAAATCTCTTGAAACCTTAAACCTAATTTTGCATCTAACGTGAAAACTTGAATTTATTCACTCCATTAACTTCAAAACCTTAGAACTAGTTGTAGAGGCATTCCTTAATTAGTATAAAGTTATTTTATACCCTCTTTTTCTCTCAGGCCTATAGCTAGCTTTAAATTTGATTGAAATCACCTGTATTTAGTTGATTTTGTCTAAGGACCGATTTCAACCCGTTATAGATTCAAAATCTCATTTCTTGGGCATTTAGAAACTATCAAATTTTCCTGTTAATTCTCCACAACTGATAGTTCACCGTTTTTCAATAAAATTAGTCATGATAATTAGGCCTATGTTGTTTGGTCAATGTTCATCATAAAGTTATATGAGACAAACTTATAGGCAGTATTACGTATAAGTTCATCTTTTTAAAGAGATGTTTTTACTTTATTCAAATTAATTTGCTGAAATCACAAGTTTTTAGCTAGAAATAGCTGAAAATATGTGAAAAAGACTGAACAAGTTAAATAAGTAAATAAGATTCTACATGATACGAGATTTGTACCATACTGCTAATAGAATAATATTATCCCACATATGTTAATTTGATATAAGATAGTCTGTTCCAAATAAAATTAATTGTCGTGCTAACAGACCCTTAGTTTTGTAGATGATTACCTATTAAAATTGTAGATATTGTAACCTTTTTTGAATTTGAGGTGTTCTCCAAACGTGTTTTAATTTCTTGTAATCGAGGAGACGAGACGAGGATTAGAAAATGGTGGATCTTAGGTTGCTTCAATTTGGTACCAGAGCAAGTTCTGTCCAGCGCTAGAAGTCTACTTTTAATTTGTTTAGGTTCTGTGAACTGTGATAGGGTTTAAGGGCTATCCCTTGGTTATGTCCCTTAGGTGTTGGCCTATTTGGTGTTATGGTGTTCCTTAGTGTTTTAGATGTTAGCCGTGGGTTAATTGGGAGTTCTTGAGATCTTTTGGTTGCTACCTCAGAACTCCTAGGTCAAGTTGTCCTAGTAGCCGTTTAGAGTGCAGGTAGGGTCCGTTCTTAGGTGTAGTAAAGTTCTCTTGAGCTCTCATTCCATGGCAGATCAAAGTAATATGTACCAAGGGTGTGGTCATGGCCAAGACAGTGGATGTGTCGAGTCAGGGGTGGTTGGCAACAATGCATCCTATAAAGACTTGATCGACATTATGACTCCCTCAAGTAGACAAGGGAGTAGTTGGCACAAATTGCATAAGCTGTAGGTGTTATGATTATGCTTTCTCCTGACCCTCCCTGGAAGCCATGTAAAGGTGCCAGTGTGCGTCACACCTAGAGGAGTCAAACACTAGAAAAGGAGGAGTGTGAAATGTATGAGGATAATTCTTGTGAGAATCATAAGAAAAGAGCAAGGATAAGGTAAGAGGTAATCTGATGCAGTGAGTAAAGGGACATTGGCAGTCTTACCTCTTGTGGCTAAGGAAGAACCAGAGAGCCACCAATTACAGAAGAGGTTCAGCTCTTTTTGGATAATTTTAGGAAGCACACCTTCTTGACATACTTCCTCCTATGAGAGATAAATGCTATGTAAGTCTCACTCTTGGATCATGTCTCCACACTTAAGATCCTCACTCTTGGATCATGTCTCCATACTTAGATTGTTATAGTCTAAGTCCAATGGAGCACTAAGAGTTGTATAGGCAGGTCAATGGATTGTGAATAAAAGGACTTATATGAGAAAGTTTGAGTCTATGCACGATCCCTGCACTCTTAACTCTAAAGAAAGATGTTAGTTGGAGAATTTGTTGATAGTCGCACAATTAGTAAGATTACCACCTAGCATAGATTTCCCATACCTAGGCTTGATGACATGCTAGATATGTTGAGTGGCTCTGAGATTTTATCCAAGATTGACCTCGGGCGTGGATACCAACATATTTGTATTCAACCTAGAGATAAATGGAAGACCCCCCTTCAGGACATGTGAGTCTTTGTGAGTGGTTTGACCTCGGGTGTGGATACCAACATATTTGTATTCAACCTATAGTTTGCATTATTCATAAAAAAGGAGAAACAATTGGTTGCATCACTCCATTTAAAGAGATTTATGTACTTGCATATTTGTAGTGTGTCGTCTTCCACCTCGGTTGTGTTATGTTACCCATGAGGGCAGTTTTAGTCATTTTCATTTGTCTCTAGAAATTGGGAATTGTGGCTTTTCTATATGTGTTTGTTTGTTCATTCCTTCTCTTAATCCATTTTATTGCATTTCCATCAATGGTATTCTAGGTAGAGCTGTATTTAGTCATTGCAGAAAATTTGTTTACTTGGAAGTTCATCACTAGGTGACTATGTTCTGAGAGTCTGAACAAGCACTTGTGCATGTGGAAAGGTCTATGATCTTAGAGTATGTGATTCTTAGGAGGATCAGTATGTTGGGTGGAGATTCTTGTAATTTAGTTTGTGTCGCAGGTTCATTTGGTCTTTGTGGATATTTCTTATTTGTTGTGAAGAATAGTACCAATGAGGAAGCACATGTTGATACAACGTAGTTTATGCTCTGCATGGATGAATTTCTGGGGAACAGGGATGCATCTACTACGTGTATTTTAGTCAATATCATTTAGTGTTATATGTGCCTTTGCAAAATTTGCCTCTACTTGTGCTTTGAAGTGCATTTTCCTTTATTGTTCAGGGTGGAAATTCTTGGAATTTAATATTTAACCTCCCAGCTTCTTCTAGTCTTTGTGCATATTCTTATTTGTTGTAAGAAGAGTACCCATGAAGAAGCACATATCGATATAACATATTTCATGCTCTGCATGGATAAATTTCTGTGCAACAATGATGCATCTCTTACTTGGATTTTAGTCAATAGTATTTTAGTTATATTTTCCTGTGCAAAACGTCCCTCTAATAATGTTTTGAAGTGCATTTTCCTTTATTGATTACGTTTCTCTTATAGTCTCATATATCCTGGATATATTTCTTATTTGTTGTCAAGAAGAGTGCCAATCAGGAAGCGCATATCGATAGAACATAGTTTATGCACTGCATGGAACAATGATGCTTCTATTATTCGGATGTTAGTCAATAGTATTTTTGGGTTGTATTTGCCTATGCAAAACATACCCCTACTGATGTTTTGAAGTGCATTTTCCTTTATTGCTCACATTTCTCTTATAGTCTCATACATCCTGGAGTTACAATAATTGAGTAACATGCTCTTGGCAGTATTATGTGCATTTTCAGTCATGCATTGGCAGTATTATTTCCTATTTTACAAAAGAATATCCGCATTTCTGCTGCTTTAAATGTGCTTTTTCTGTTCTTCGATGGATCCATTCTTGACGCACCTTTCTGTGGATCCCACATTCTGTTCTTGTTGATTTCCACTTAACCTAAGTCCTACTTCAAGTTGTTAAGGCCCGAGATGTGCTAAATTTCCTCTTGTTCTGGTTTTATCTTTTATTTTATTTTTTAATAGTTCCTCTTATTAAATATCGTCTGTCTTATATTTTGATCATCAGTCAATATTTTCTATTTAAAATTAAGATTTGTCTGACTATTGATGGGTCTTATTGCTTTTGTGCTTTGTGTTCAGTGTTGTAATGGTAGATGAGGCCCATGAAAGATCCCTTTCAACAGACATGTTATTGGGGCTGTTGAAAAAGGTTTGATTCTAAAATTGATAATTTCTCTGAGTTTATTATGTTGCTGCTCCTCTCCTTCTCCTGCTTTTGGTTATCAAGAAGAGTTACTGTGCTTGGCTATTTCAGATTCAACGTCGTAGACCTGAATTACGTTTGATCATTTCATCTGCAACAATTGAAGCAAAATCCATCGCTGCTTTCTTCAATCAAAGGTTCTATTCTGACAGTTTATTTATTAACTCAAGAGGACATGAGGTGGTTCTGCTGATGTCGTGCTGACATCATATCCAGCATTTAATTGCTTATTTGTTTATTATTTATTATCCTACTATCCATGGATTACTATTCACTAGTTACTGTTCACCTGTTACTGTTCACAATATCATTTCTGGGATTTTTAATATCGTTTAGGGGTGGTGTGGAGCTTTTTAGAATTGTTTTGGAACTTACTAATTAGTGGGGGTAGTTTGGTGTTTTATTATAATTTTAGGACAGAAGAGTGGGTGTTTAAAACTTTGTAAAGAGGCTAGAGGGTAATGTTGCTGTATGTTTCATTATAGAGAGTTTTCTCTCTGTTGGAGCATCTCAAGCTTAAATCTTAGTGAATCTGTTGAGTTTCAGCCCCATTTTCTGTTGGATTTTGTTCAACTATACTCTGTGCTGCGTCAATTGGTATCAGAGCATGTTGATTTTCTTCACGCATCGCGGCATTAAGTTTCTTGGGAAACATGAGGATGGCTGCACAAGGGTTTCAAGGAAGAGGTTGTGTGAGGAGGTCGCAGTCTAGGCGCCGGAGTTAGACCTATGATGGCTGATTTGGAAGTTGTTCTTCAAAGATTTGACACATTGGCTGCCAAGGTGTGCTATATCAGAAATGTCACCCTAGAATTGAGTCCGCAAGGGGTTGAACATAGGGATGATGTCATGCGTTCCTAGGGTTTCAAGCGCATATACAGGATTTGAGTACGGAAGATGGTTCAAACTGAGATAGCCTGGGATCAAATTGGTCGTAGGCAAGAAACCTTATCCAGTTTGAAGACCGGTTGGTTCAGGTTCTTGAAGGCGCTGAACGAAGTATTAGGGTTGATGTGCACGATTTGATAGGGAGATTATAGCCAGATGACTTCCTTGACTGGCTTGCAAGTGTCGAGCAATTCTTGCAATGGAAGATATGCAGAGCATAAACAGCTACAATTTTGTTGGTACTAAATTAAAAGGCCCGACTTTGTTGCAGTGGCAGCCAATACAAGTTTTTTTTTGATAAAAGTTAACATTGTATTAATGGGTAAGGATTGTACAAGAGAGAGGAGGCCAAGTTCACCCCCTAAGGGGTGGACTGGAAAAATACAGACAGTGAATCATGTACAAGAAGATTTTGTAAGACCTCCCAAAAGAAAATTTTACATGAAGCTTTCAAAAACTACAAAAAATAGGGGAGGCCAAGAGAGGCCAGGTGAAGTGCTATGGAAGCGAGCTGCGCCAGAGATCTTGTGCAAAAAAGGAGACCATCCCGGCTTGATCTTGTGATTGCCTATTAGCTCCTTGTTTCGCCAGGCGATCATCGAAGTCGTTGGACGTCCTCCAAGTATGCCGCCATAAGACGTCCATATCCTTGCAAAGATGATCAATTTCATCGAATGTAGAGGTTAGGTACCATGGCTGAGTGGAGGCCCTACTAGCCCATGAGAGAACATTCTTTGAATCTCCTTCTATGATAAGGTGTAAACCCCAAGAGCAATTAAACTTTTTCAGTCCTTGAAGGAGGGCCAAGGCTTCAGCAATGTGTGCTTCCATGATGCCAAGGTTCTCTAAGTAAGAAAGAAGTACATTGCCTAGGTGGTCTCTGAAAACCCCCCCTACTCCCTCCGGTCCGGGATTCCTAAGGAGCAACCATCAAAATTAAGTTTGATGGTTCCTGCTGAGGTTTTGGCAGCCAATACAAGTTGATTGAATAAGAAAAGGAAAGCAAGATGTCTGCAGTTGGGAGGAGGAGATATTTGAAGGAAAAATTTCTGTCCACAGAGTATATGCAAAACCTTTACCAGTGACTCCATTTACATCAAAAAAGATGTTTAGTACAGGATTATATGGAAGCCTTCTATCAGTTGTTGGGTCAGAATGATATCGGGGAATGTGATGACCAGCTGATTGCGAGATATACCAGTGGACCACATTCTGCAATACAAGATGAGCCATGTACACATCAGATTTTTACTTTGGGTGAGGTGTATCAGCTGACTTTGAATGTTGAGACCAAATTGCATAAATTTGGGCCCAATCACTTTGTAGATAAGTGATCAACCACTATGTAATCCAAGGAGGTAGTGGGGCTTTAAAGGCCTAGAGAGTTTATAAAAATGATGACTTTATAGTAAAATATATACTTCAGTGGGAGTGTGTATGTTGACTGACCATGAGTTGCGCAGTTTATGGTCCTGGTTATGTCCAAATGTAGCACCACCAAGAAGGTTGGAGAGATGCCCAGGGATGATATTTGTAGGCTCGGAGAACTGTGTGGTCTCCTGTGAGCTGTTGTAGAGAGCAAGGGCCAAAGTCTTAACAAACTTCCGCACAATATGTACACATGACAATTGTATTACTGGAAAGCAGCCCTTTAGAGGGACACATGTATATGTTCATAGAGAGAGCCCCTTTTACACAGTTGTGACAAGTGCTAGACTTGTTCTTAGAGGGGGGACTGAAATCGATTCCAGGATCATGATTTCACTGTTTATTGATCAACTTTGACAAGCCAATTATGAGCCCCTGCATTGAGACAGTGAGTCATTGGTCTTTGTTGGATTGGATAAGAAAACTATAGTGAATCATTGTTTTTGCGTCAAGTGGAGTGCCCTTATTGTCGCTAATTTTGACCCATCAGTACTAGTCCACTTTTAAAATTTTATTTTGGTATTAGAAATGTTTTTATGATTTTTACATTTTTTTTAGAATTTAAAATTTCATTTCTACTGTAAATTCATTAAAAAGGGTATTTTTGAAATTTTCATAACTTGGAAGGGCACATGTGGGGACTTAGGATCCAGCCCCCATGTGTGTGCCACCCATGAGTGGGACTTGTGGCCTTGTGGGATCCCACATAATGGCTATAGGGTGGCACACCCCACTTATTTATTTTATGTACTACTTTTAGTTTAAAGTTTGGATAGTTAGGGAATCTTTTAAAATTAAAATAGATTTGTTCCCTGTTCATGTGGGAGATTTTAAAATAAAAGATTGTCTTTGACTTCCTAAAAATTTGGGAAGATTTAGATAATACTAAAAGTGGTTATAATTCAAATTCAAATAGAAGTTTGACTTTCGTCAAATTATAAAGGGATAAGGTTTCTAATTTCCGCCCCAAATTATGATGGTTGATTTGTGGGATAGATGACTCATATTTACTCTTTGTCACCCCATAGATTTCCTAACGTCCTAAAAGTCAAGTTGGACAAATAAGTTAAGGCATATCTAGAAGAAATCCTATTCCATGTGGGAGATATATTTCTTTCTATTTAAACCCTATGTGAACCCTTCTCTCAAATTAGACGTAACCTCTCTCTCTCTCACCAAGAAAATCTCTCTCTTTCCTCCATGCCCCAATGTTTCTCTCTCTCTCAATTTTAAACCACGTCTCTCCTCTCTCTTGCCTCATAGAGTCACGCCACTCTAAAGAAAGAAAAAAAAGGGAGGTGGCACTTTGAAACCTTAGGTGAGGACGCCGTTGTTATTGAAGAAGAAGAGTGGTACATCCAACTAAGAGAGAAATAAACCCTCAAGCCTAGCCCTCCCAATGTTTCTCTCTCTCTCAATTTAAACCACGTCTCTCCTCTCTCTTGCCTCATAGAGTCATGCCACTCTAAAGAAAGAAAAAAAAGGGAGGTGGCACTTTGAAACCCCTAGGTGAGGATGTCGTTGTTATTGAAGAAGAAGATAGGTACATCCAACCAAGAGAGAGAAATAAACCCTCAAGCCTAGCCCTAAATTTGATCCTATGGGGTTCTTACAAACTCTACATAGGATGCTATGCTCTTGAAACCCCTAATTGGAAGGTATTGCCTTAAAAGCTTTAACTCAGAAATTCTAGCAAAACCTAAAGGATTAAAAGTGCGCAATCGGTCAGGGACTTGGGTGTGGGGTGTATCAAGCGCTGTGACGGTGACTCCAGGTGTTATGTAGTAAGTCTTCCCAGTTGATTTAATTTTCAGTTATATTTTATATTTTTCTGTGAATTTTTAGGAACATATTTTGTACTCAAGACTATAGTGGAAGTTTGGTTATTGTTCATGGATGTTTTTATTTACTTTGACAGTAAAAGTAAAGATCCTAAGTTGTATTTAGAGTTTTAATTTTGATTTATAAAACTGTATAGTGGTTCATGTAAGTGGAGTTCAGGTATATTGAATCAATGAAAAAGAATATTTTTTAAATTTAATACCTTGAGTTCCATATAGTCACTCCTTTCATTGCCTCCTGAGAAAGATGGCACCTGACAAATATGTGTGGGCAGTAGGGTGTTAAACAAGATTACAATCAAGTATAGGTTCGCTAAGCCCCATTTAGATAATATGTTGGGCATGTTATTGGGATCAAAGTTGTTTTCTAAGATTGACTTATGAAGTGGGTATTATCAGATCGGATTTAGGGCGGGTGGTGAATGGAAAACCAAATGTAAGTTTCAAGAAGGGTTATATGAATAGTTAGTTTTTGGCTTGTTTAACACACCTAATACTCTTATGTGGGTTACGAGTCAGGTGCTCAAACTATTTATAGGGAAATTTGTTGTGGTCTATTTTGATGATATTATAATTTACGATGACACAATTGAGGAACACTGGATTCATTTGGGGTAGATCCTGGAAACATTAAAGGCTGAAAAGTTATTTATCAATCTTAAGAAGTGTTCTTTCTTGACAGATGGTCTTATTTTCTTGGGATGTCGTATCTGCCGAGGGATTAGAGTGGATCCAATTATGGTTCAAGTGATCATTGACTGGCCAACACTGACTTGTATTGGTAGCTCTTATTACAAATTGTATGCGGAGAATCAACTTTGTTTGGATATACGTGGCCAATGATAGCTTTTGGTTGATTGAAGAAAAGATTAAATGGGCACCTGTCTTGGCTTTACCAAATATTGATAAAGTTTTTTTCAGGTGGATTGTGATGCATCCATGTGGGGATTGGGTCTATTTTGAGCTAGGACAATAGGTTG